ACCCTCTCTGGTCAAGCTAATCTATAGCGACGTTCTGAGGTCAGTGCAACCCCTTGGTGTCTTGCTCCCAAGACTACCCTCATCATCATACTATGCGTGTTCACACTCATCGTCTTTGGGGAAGTATTCCTATGCTTATGAACATACATTATGCATGAGGTCCCTCTAAATGTCATCTTATCATCTCTTCTGACACAACCCTCTAGTCTCATCTCTTTGTTACATTAAGTAACACATGCTCATTGGATATTTATATTAATATCATTTTCATGCTCTTAGGATTGTGTCCTATGTCGATCTATTGACATGATGCAATATGGCATTCATTATCATATAGCATGCTTAATATGAAAAACATCACTATATTAAGACAAACGTCATGCAATCATCATACTCATCATATCGCCATAAATTGCATCAAGCATATCAAGTACGTCATATATCAAACTATATATATTATGCACATCATCAAGCATCTTAACTCAAGCATCATAACTCATACATCATCATATACTAGTATACGACATCATACGATACAGCTCATACATCATCATAGCTCATACACCATAAATTGTAACTCATACAATTTCTAGCATATCCTATAGTGAGGCCACTTACTTGGTTGGCTTTAGCCACATTTCTATCTAGCTCCAAATTTGCTTGATTTCATTATTCGAATTCGTTCTCACTTATATCGAAGTTTCACCTATTTTGAACATAAACTTAATTGACTCAACAAGAATCGAATTCCACGTTTTCATTGTTTCTAATTGTTTGATAGTAAAAATTAAATTAAAAATATGTCAATATTATTTCATGTTGCTTGAATCATTCCGTCCAAATATTGTTTGTTATAATATTTTATTCACTAGGGAAGAATAATAAAAAAATTAAAATTTTGGATTTAGAGAAATTAATGTTTTTTTTAAAAAAAAAATGAAAATGGACGTATGAAATATAGGTTTATATAACATGCACGTTTAGAATAACATAATTTTTATTATAATTTGCATGTTAAAAATATTTAAAAGCTAAATTAATAAAAATATTTATAAATTTTGTAGCAGTCTAAAAAATAATCCTACTATGATAAATTTCAATAATACCTTTAAACATCATTAATATAAAATTAATTAAAATATTTCTTAATAGATTTTCATTTATTAATGCTAAAGAACTCAATTATAAATTTATTTTTATACCGCATAAAATAGGTTGTGTTTATGAATATAAATCCTTCGAGAGTTATGCATAATTACAGCGGTATCAAAAAGTCCGTTTTACCTATCTTTCACTTAAGTATCACTTGTTCTCTAATAAAATAAAAAAAAATTATGATCCAACCATAAACTAAGTTCCTTTAGGGCTAGTTAGAGGGTGCGACCCCATTGTTCGATTCTCGAAATCAATACGTAACAGAACTACTAATTAACTACTAATAATTAATCACGGGACTTTAGAGCATAAACTCTGACCATAACTCTTGATATAACTTCCACGTACAAAATTG